CTCTCACGTCGCTCTAGTATTTTGCCAGAAACAGAAAAAAGGTTCGATTATTTTCGATTTCGAATAATCGAAGGTTCGAATATTTTCGATTTCGAATAATCGAAGTTCGATTATGTTCGATTTCGAAATCGGTGCATGCCTAGTGACAACCAAACGTGCTCTCTCTCTCTCTCTATCTTTGATGAAGTGGTTCACTCCCATCTACTCATCAATATAGCGAAATATAGCTTTGTAGGTTTTCGGACATGCTCTTTCTAAGGAGGCCAGAAAATCTTCAAAAACTAGTTTTCCAACTAGGGGGTTTCCAGAGATCCGGTCTCTGGAAACCCTTTAGAAAACCACTTTAGAAGTTTTTGAACTGCATCATTAGATTCGCCATGATCGAAAAGCTGCCGAAAACTAGTTTTCACAGTTTCTGGAAGCTCGACGATGCCATACTAAAACATCAGCTCAGCTTTAGAGAAAAACCTTGGAGAATCGCTGTTTCCGGCAAACTTCAGCAAGAGTTCGTCGAAAGTGGACGAAAGACACACGATTATATGCAGTTTTTCACGCTGATCCCGAATCTGTCCTCAGCTTTTAGCTAGGATGCTTTCTGTCTGAAAAAATGCGAAAAATCGATGAAAAAACAGAGTTTTTGGAAAACTCATAAATCCGGAACTGGAAAAAATTGCAACTTTTTGTTGGTTTTGTAGGTTGCCCACTTCCAGGTAAATAACTGCTAAAAATTTCAGCTTCGACGGACCTTCGCTAACCCTCGCGCACTCACTTTGCTGAGTGCAGCGTTTGAAAAAACACTTAGCGCCAAAAAAAGTTAAGTTTACTCACACAGGAAAGAGACAATCTGAGACCTTTTTTTACCAGGCGATAGCCCAAACAATTAGCTTTCAGAATATATATCTTTCAAATTTTAAATGTGTTTACTCTTGTCAGAAAAAAAGAGTTTTTTATAGAACTTACAAAAAATCAGCCAAAAATTGACGCTTGGCTTTCTCGGTCATCTTATGCATTTGGTTCAAAATTTTTTCGCTGTTAGATCGGCCATTCAGGAGCGTATATATGACACCATTCAGATCTTGAAAAATCTCGCTTTCGATTTTTCCCCTAATGTCCGCCTGATTGTCCACTGTGTGCGGTTAGATCTTTGACATGAAACGCTGAAAACCGCAGGTTTTTATCGCTTTTCCTTCAAAAGTTATTCAAGAAACATTGGGGAACTTGAAATACATAGTAGAAGCGAGTGATGTTTTGGGATTATATAGAAATGGATGTAGTTTGTAATGAAAATTTCCGTTTACCTGTGTGAATATGAGAGGAGCAGAACGGTGGAATTCTCAAACCATCGAGCTCGAAGTTGGTTAGATATCGCGTATTTCACATTTCTGGCATGTGAGCTATGCACTGCAAATTAAACTGAGTAAAACAAGTTTTGATTCTTTTCTCGTTTCTAGGATACGAACGTTGAGTTGAGCATGCTTCAAAAGTACTGGTTATTACAAACAATGGGTAATGGCGCTCAGTTAACGTCAATGCGAACAGCGACCGATTCAAGATTATCTGCCTTGCTCGGTCCATCCACTCTTATATCACCAGCATATGTATCACCACAATTTGAAGAAACGAGTTTTGTTAAATCGGATGCATGGTCATCATATGATAGCGGTGAACGTGATCTGAAAAATCCAGCGAAAAGTCTAGTGGAAAAACCGATAAAGTAAACTGCTTATGATTTAAAATAGAAATAGATCTGCCACCGGTACTGGGCTTGTTTTTGTTTTAGACGGCGGCGATGTGTTTCGACTTCACCGAATACAAAAGCATGTTGCGTCGGTTTTCTTACTGGGCTATTATTTGTTTGTGTTATATTAGCCATTATATTAGGAATATGGTTAAAACGACCAGGTATGACAATGGAAAAAAATTTGACATTTTAGTCTTAAAAGCTGTTGTAGAATGATATCATGTGAAACCTACAACCTTAGTTCTCCATTTCAGAGCCAAAAAAATAGAACAAATATAATTAACGCGTGATGACTGTTCTTCTTTCTAGTACGAAGACGGATTATCAATTTTCTTTCTTCCAAATTCTTGCAACATAACCAAATTCTTACATTGTGTCCTTCTTTAACATGAGATATTTATTGTAGCAGTACAGACCAGCAGTACTAATACTAGAGTCCTCCCGAATCGAGATCAAGCTTACTAGACCGGATCAGGATTGGGCCGAAAAAACTCAACCCTACAGCACAGTGAGCATTTCTCCATAAAGCAGGCGAATGTGTGAGTTTGTAACCCAAAATGTGATTATTTTGCACAAAGTTGCTCTATTATAACTCAGATATTGATATAAATCATAAAGTAAAAAGGACATCGTCGGATAAGTAGCTATATCTGTCACTCTATGTTTTCTTATTCTGAAGGCATGATCAAATAGAACTGACTCTCGCGAGCTTGAATATGATATCAGAAATGTTGCTGATCATGGTCGTGAGATATTAATTAATTATTATTAATGGCATTTTCATTAATTAACTCATATCTCCGTCAAAAAGGTGCATGGGTCCAAACAAACTTGGGGATTTTCACTGCTGACTATTTCCTACATGACGAAAATAGTCTGAGTCGAAAAGCTTTTAATCGCCTCGAAAGGTTCCCTCGTGGAATTTTCACCAAAAAATGTCGAAATCAACTTCATTCGACTCAGTTTTCAACAGTGAACCCAACAGAAAATGTTTTTTGAGTGTTCTGTCCAAAGCGTTTCCTTCACCTACCAATTCTGAACAAAGTGTGTGACACGAAAACCAAATACAAATGCAAAGTAAAGTGGCATGTGCTTATTCTTTATTTCTTTGCATGTTTGGTGGCCAGACTACTACAGTTCAGGCTCCTATCTGCATCCACTATCGTACAGAATATGTGGTATTGAGAACAGCTCATAACCACGGTAACGAGAAGCGGAAATTGATGGCATCAGAACTAGCAACAGTCGGAAAAATTTCCTGTCTAAGCAGAAAACGTTCGGCCCACCGAGTGTTTTTGGCTCTACGGAGCACGGTCCAACAGCCTAAAAATCCTGGTTACGCCATTGACTTTGGGTGATGTTTTAGAGACGTACTTTTTGACTAATTAGTATAACCGAAATATATTATTTGATGTAGTTTTCTTCGCTGGTCATGGATCTGATATCAGATTTCAAAAAGTATGAAAAATGAATGAAATAAGAGCGACTTTTGATAATTGGCTAGCTATGTCTACCGATTGATAAAAATGTCGTTCGAAAAATGTGGTCTTGGGGCTGATTTCTTTTTCGAATGATCTCATCGATCGATATGTTCAGGAGATAATACTGACAAATTTAGACAAATGTGCTTTTTCTCATTTTGGAGAAAATCGGCACTTAATGTAAATGGTCGTCCGTCCACGAGGCGCACTCATAAAACGGATGAATTTTTCTCTGTGAAAAGCTGATATATTTGTACCACCACATACTTTTAGTTTGCGTAGAAATATTTTCTGATTTTATTAAAACCAATCCTGACCTTACAGACCTTTTAGTCATTGAGAAATAATTATTTTACTGAAAAGATTAGATAGTTGATGGTCTCACGCATAAATGGCTCGTAATTTTTTTCTAAGTGCTTCTGAACATTTCTGATATCCTATTCGTGCTCGCAAGAGTCAGTTCTATTTGACCATGTCTTCAGAATAAGAAAACATAGAGTGATAGATATAGCTATTTATCCGACGATGTCCTTTCGAAATAAGTGTTTTCGACGAAAATTGCCTGAGGGCCCCTTCTCCTAAATTTTTGTCGGAAATTTTCTTCTTCCAAAACATTTATAAAGTTCATGTCGTCCGATACAGTTTTTCATGCTGATTCCAGATATCATCGTAGTTTTTACTAGAAGTGTTTCTCTGTCAAGAAAACCTCAACATCGCTCAAAAACCGAATGGTTTTTGGAACGCCTGTAATTTGACTGAGGAAAATATGCGCACCTTTGTGCACGCATAGTAGATCCAGGACGTGTTGATGAACATTTTGGCGCAATTTTGAGTTGAATTGGACCTGCGCTAACTTCTACGATGCTATTATACTGTACACATGTATCAGAAACACTCTTAGGTTTTGGAATGCACTTTTTTCTGCAGTGAGACTTCAGTCTAAAACTAATTTTTTTTTGGAATATATAGCTGGAACCGCGTGGATTTCAAATACACACATTTACTAGCCTCACATTAGGTTGATATTAGAGAAAAAGATTTTCCGCATGAAAGATGCTTAAACCGAGTGTATTTTTACTAATTCGTTTTGCTCGAAAATTCACTACTTGTGATAAAAGCATTTTTAGCATTAGATAGACCGTTCATGGAAGTATATTTGACACTACTTGAATTTTGGAAAGGCCTACTTTCGGTTTTTCGCCAAATGTCCGCCTGAATATGCACTGTGCACAGGGCTCTAATTACTACAATAACAAGTACAGTTATCGCAACACCAGGCAAAATTTTTATTGGTGCATTTGACTATACTTATGAGTGACGCTGACCGCACCGTATGGGGGGGTATTTTAGTACTTTGCTGGACTCTCTATTAGCAAAACTCGGTAAGCTTACTTTTATTCCAGGAAATATGATAGATACTATAAGAATTTCATCTGAAACGGCAGTACTTCAATCGTGTTTCCTCTTTAAAAAGCCAATTCACTCTCCCAAAACCAATGCACAGACGAATGTTTTAATTTCGAAAGCCTATGCAATTACTACTATCCACATAAAAATATGGCTGAAGTGTTTGTTTTATAAATAACTTTTGAAGGAAAAGCGATAAAAACCTGCGGTTTTCAGCGTTTTATATCCAAGATCTAACCGCATCCAGCCATGTGTGATTCCCGAAAGCCCAGATTTTTCAGGTGGTGTATCTGAAAATCTAAAAAAGAAAATATTGCTATACACTGGAGTTGCAATGTATTTTTAATTGCAATGCCATGGCTGAATAGCCCAGTGTATCCTCTTTACATCTAAGAAAGGAAGAGGTCCCTAGCTATCAATGTTCATCGAAGAGTCCCAGATCGTTTTAATTGTGAGGTGTGGGAACTTCGGCAACCGATGGAAATATAGGGTACCGATCACGCTATGTTTGTGTGCCAATAAACCTACAGGAACACTCTGTGCAGTTGTTGTACCAAAAGTGGCCGTTTTGGCCTAAGTGCAGAGAAAACTTAAACAATCATAGCTTCGAAAAAACTCCAAATTGCCTGAAGCTGTTAGCATAGAGATAATTTTGGATTTTCATCTACGCGATGAAACTGCCAAAATCAACAACTAACGTTTTTGGCAAAAACGTTTTCGCGGAGGAAAAATGATACACAATGAGTGCTAAATGCTATAAAGCGTTACAGCTTTAGTATCTATGTCATCGTGTAGAGCTATTTCAAAGCAATTTTGCGCTTGTATATCTCTCAACCAAAATGAATTTCGGAGCTAAATATATTTAGGTACAACAACATCACTCACAACTTCAATATCCACAACTGGTAGTAGTACAAGCATGATCTCAGCTATAAGCATGACCTCAACTACAAGCACGACCTCAACTACACCTTCGACCTCAACTACAAGCACAACTTCGTCAAGTATGAATGAAAGCACTTTTGGCAACGTTCTTGAAAATTTTGAGAAGAAATGGAGATATAGCCTTCTGAATGGACTGACTTACTTTAACTATAAAATAACTGAGTATATGTTTGCCTGATCACGTTCGAGAGAAAACAACGTAAGAAAAGCATGCTTTTGCTTCACTTGTGAGGTAAAAGAGTTTTATGTGCGGCAGAGTTGCAAGAATACGAGCATCTTTATGGCTCCTTTGTTAGTAATAATTAGAATTGAATGTTTGTATAGGTCACATAGTGTGACGATATGAATTACATCTATTTCCCACACATCTCTTTTACTAATTTATTTTCTATACAAACGAATATTTAGCTTTTAAAACATAACTCACTGTTAGATAGCTCTTGAAAGCCTCTGTCGATTGTGCATAAACATGAGTTTTCTAATGCTCATTCTGTCGGTTAAGCGGCATTTTGTGCAAAGCCATATTTTGAGTATAGAGACGTTTTCTTTCTTGCTTACGTACTCCTTTTCAAAAAAATATCCTAGAAATGTCACATGCGGCCAATCCGAGTTCATTTTTTCAGTAGTTTGTAGAAAACGGATTTCTCTTTCTTCCTGGAGTTCAAATAGCAAGTGATAAAGCGATTCAGTTGGACGAAAAATCTGAACACTGTCCGTGACAGTGTTCAGAAAAATAAAATAAGAAGAATAAATAAAAACCGTCTTCGTGAGTCACGAAGACGGTTTTTATTGTAGTAGCTTAGGCAGGCTATTGTTATTAGACACAAGTAGATTGTGATCAAACGCTTACAAATACAGTCGACGTCAAAAGTATTTCGCCAATTTATTGTTCTGAGTCGTGTATTAAAACTACACAACATTAATTTCGTTTCATTATATGCCTGTGTAGTAGAGGTTAAGTACTATATATGAGAGAAACGTAACTTTCTGGTACAATCCACAAAAAGAAATGAAAGTGTTCATAAAAAAAATTTGAATGGTACGCTTTGTTCCCCTGTCTTTGCCGAGTATCCTATAAAAATTTCCCAACTGCCAGACTCATACTGGCTGAGTTAGGAGGGGGACAATTTTCAGTTTTTGCCACAGAGAATTTTTGGCAGGATTTTGCTAGAAAAAGGGTTGAAATAGATGTATTCTACATCGTTCGACAGAGAATGATTCGAGCAGTACAGTGGGACTGTGAGCAAATGCGTCAAGCCGAAAAACCGCAG